TGCAGTAAGTAAATGACACCAGGGCTTTTTATAGTGGTTCAAGGAACAACTTGTTCATCTAATCCATTGTTCCGTTAAGCTTGTAAAAACGTCCGTTTACAACGCCTTAGTCCTATCACTTAAGAAGTTCTCCACGTCTTCTTGAAGTGTAAATGTCTCCTGGGATGCACTTCCTGGCTTCCTTTAAGACTGGTCCTTTCACTGAGCTTCCCGGAAGTATCACCACTTCACTGCTCCAGGTACTTGGACGTCCTTCTTGTGAAAGAAGAGTTTCTGTTGAAACAGAGGTTCCTCCAACTTGCTTCGTTACAAAAGATTTGTAGATGAAGTGCTTGAAGAGTTGAAGAACGACTAGAACTTTGCTTGAGTTGGAAGTAAGAATCTTTCCAACGTCTGCCTTCTCTTGTAGAAGATGATGAAGATTTAATCTCAAGGAGGCTTTTTGCGTTTTGAGCGTTTGAATGTTTTTGTATTCGCACTGTTGTGGCAAAGTTGTTTTGTTGTTCTTCGTAGTGTATCTTTTATACTGAGGTTGTCTTCCCGTTGGAGGAGAAGGAGGACAACTGCATTAAATGTGCGAGCAGTTGACTTGACCAGTAAGACCCAACAAAGTTGGCGGGTTACTATTTTGGGATAAAGCTATCGTGACATTGCGGCCAATCATCTGCATTTACTCTACAGAGTACGGGAGGCATTAAATGTGCATTTAATGCGTGTACTGTAGCTTTTCCGTTCAAGACTCCTAGCCGTTGAGGGAATCTTCAGTTGGTTTACCGACTTGGTGAAATTCTCTACGTGTGAGGCCTTCTGGTGTCTTCAGCAGAGAGTCGATCAGAGAAGGTCTTGAGCACTTCTGTTGGAGAAAGCTATCAGAGACTCTTGAGGGTTTATGTTGAAGAAATGTCCAACAGAGAACCAGGAGAGTTTCTGTCTGTGTGAAGGCTAACAAAGACCCAGAGGTCTTCTGTTCTGAAGCAGAGAGCCAAAGGTCCTCTGTTAATACAAAGCCTATCAAAGAGTCTTCTGTCAGGAGGTCTTCTGTTCTGGAGGACTTATGTCAGTCGACTATACTAAGGAACTTTACCAGGAAAATTTCTAAAACATTAAATCTAAAGAGGGGTAATCTAAAGTCCTAATTAATATAGCATCATCAAAATCTAATTACAATTATTCCTTACATTTTCTTTACTTAAATTTTCAGTTTGTTATGTATTTATGTTTTAAACTCAACTTTTGAGATTTGAAATGATAGTAACATATTGTATTTTTTGTAATTTCAAGCGTTGAATATATTTTTTGCACAAATTTAATGTAGATTTGTAAGATTTTTTTTTAAACTAGGAACTATTAAATTACAAGAATCGAATCCTTATTGAGATTTGATATTTTTCAAACGGTTTTATCCATTTTGCCTAGGAATTGAACCGGTTCTAGGCCTATCAAAAAGCCTTTGGAATTTTTTTCCAAAATCCATTGGAAACAATTCCTGAATACTTTCTTAAAATAGTTCCTGAACAAGAGTTTTGGAAAGATTTTGTTGGACAAAAAGCTTTGAAATTTACTTGTGACTATCACAAAGACAACATCACTTACTATGGTAGCATACTAGCAATTTACAGTGACATGAAATGATGAAAGCATGGTCACCCAAGGTGACACATGTATTGACGTCTTAATGTTACTGGTAGTGGCATAATCAGTCACATTTTTTATATCTTAAAAATGATCGCATTTTTCTCCATGACTATTTTTTATTTAACATTACTCAATAATTATAAATACCAATGGGGAAAATTAGATGTTTAATATTATGTGTGTGTGTATGTATGTGTGTATAAAGGAAATTTCTTTGAAAAAAATTTTCATTTAAATCTCAGAGAAACAACATAAATGTCCTGAATTAAAAAATTATTATCAAACAACTAGTCAATCTAAAGAAGTAAAGAAGATTGGGAAAACAACATGTAACACAAAACGGGAAAAGTATCATAAATATTTTTGTTTGAGATAAATATTTTCAAAGAATATACTTTATATGTTCAAATTAGTTGTCTCACTTTATTTACTGTGTTGAATTTTTTAAATGAGCCTATAAATAACATTTTATTTACTGCCATTTTATATTCTCTTACTTAATCATCAAACTGTGTTCAGATATAAAATCTCGATACTATATCTCAAGATGACATAAGGGTGAAATATCATTTCTTTTGTATGTTTCACATTTTCACCCCTCTGAAAAGAAATACTTCGTACACATGTAAAGTAAAAGGGACGTTGTTTTCTTTAACTATTTCACGGTTTGGGATGTCGTCCCTTGGGCATTCCCCTCAGTTTTTCCAATTGACTTTGTTTTTTACATGCTTGTGCTTCGGTTCATCCCTGAGTCATTTATTTTAGCTCCCAAGATAGGGATGGACATGGACCGGGCCTGTGCCGGGTCAGGATCCAGGATCCAGGATGAGATTGGACGGGCCTGGGTTTTTGGGTTGCAGGCCCGGTACCGGCCCGGGTTTGTACCGGGACCGGGCGCGACCGGGATCAGGTCGGGTCTAGTTTTTTTTTTAATTTGTTTTTCTAATTTATTCCTGCCCACCCAAACCACCCAGCCCCACGCCCCCACCTGCCTAGCAGCCCTTAAAATGGGAAAAATAAAAAAAATAAAAAATTGGGCCCGAATTGGCCGGTCCAGTCTACCTTTTCAGCAGCCCGTAGCTCGCCCCCCGGTTCGGCCCCCAAGTCCCGGTTGGTCAGGCCAGGCCGGTCCCGCACAGTAGCGGACCGGGCTGAACCAGTCAGTCCATGGAGTCTAAGAAGCATTTTCATTTCACACATATTCTGATCTTTCTCATGATCTTTACAATAAAAAATTAATTAAAAATATATACAATGCAAACGGGATTAAATCTACCGAAACATATTTTTTTTGTGTAAAAATATATGATAATGTAAAAATGCATAACAATATATTATGAAAGATAAAGTTTTTTTTTCGATTTTCCAAACATATCCTTACTTTATATCAAATCAAACAAAAAGTAGACAAGTAAGAGTAATTATGATTTTTTGTTCACAAGTAATTTATTTTTACAGAAATATGAACTCCTTTTTGAATTTTGAGATTTTCATGAAACGAAAGTAAGAAATCCTTTTCGAGACAGATGTAGTATTGTGGAACATTCCAAGAAGGAAAATAAGACAATTATTTTGGAAGGGAGTAATATCAGTGATGTAGAAATTCTTAGGAAAAATTGACAAGAATAATCATAAATATGAGTGATCTGTTTGAAATAATCCAAAGTATCAATTATCTCAAAATAATCCCAACTATTGAAAAATATTCCACATACTCATAAATATTACTTCCTCCGTCCCTTAAAACTTTGACAACTTTCTTTTTTTGGATGTCCCACTAACTTTGCCATTTTTCATTTTAAGTAAAGAATTTGTGGCTACAATCAATTCTCTCTCCCCTGCACAAAACCTCTACCACACAGTTTTTACTTTATTAATCCTCGTGCCGGTCAAACTTATAAGGAACGGAAGGAGTATACGTTATTTACGGATAATTATAAGTCACTGAAGTACTTTGAGAAGATTTTTCAATAGTTGGGATTATTTTGAGATAATTGATAAGTTGGATTATTTCAAGCAGATCTGGGATTATTTTGAGATAATTGATAAGTTGGATTATTTCAAGCAGATCACTCATAGTTGAGATTATTCTTGTCTATTAATAGTCGTAACAATTTGATTTTCGTGTTTGCCAACACACAATTGTGATTGTGATTATCATTAATCACGTATTACGTAGTAATAAATATTATAAAGAGTTACGGAGTAATACTTTGAAAATTCAAATTAATAGAACTTTAATACTTTCTCCATCCCACTAACAATGGTGCAAGAAAAGTAAGTTTATGTGATTGATATTGAAATGATAAAATAAGAATAAAATATGAATAATTTAGAAGCACATAAGCTTTTCTAAATTTGGTACTCCATCTACAATTGAAAGTTCTCTACAATAGGTTTGGGCACAATATTTGAGGGTGAAATAGTAAGGGTAAAGAATAGTGTAAATAATAGGCTTTTCCCAATTGAACATTTCATACAATTAATATGATATAATTAAAGAACATTTCAAAATCAAATATTACACACTCTAACATTAATATGTTTAATTTCCCCAATTCAAAATTTCATATAACAAACTATATTATACTCAACAAATTCAAAATATTACATTGCTATCCACATTAAAATTCAACATTTCATACATATTCACATTACACAACAAATCAATTCCCAAGTCAATTCCTAATTTACAGATTCAAAATTTATCCATTATAAACACTAAATTGAAAAATGAGATGGAGTTGGGATTTGATTTACCTAGAGGTTGAAGAAGATGGTTGTGGAGTATCTTTGGTAGGTGGAGTGGCCTCCTAGTCGTTGCAGTCGCCGGAATGGAGGCGATACTTCGATTTTCGCCGGGGGGGGGGGGGGGGGGGGGGGTGTTTTTTTGCTGCAAATCGTTCTGTCTGCAGCAAACCTATCTGACATGTCTGTTTTAAAGGTAAAGTTGCCAAACGGTTTGACAACTTATAAGTCGCCATCCCGGTTGACGACTTATATGTCGCCAAATCATTTGGCGACTTTGCCCAAGTCCGATTAAATCCAAGGGTAGATCCATAAATAGTTTTAACCTAATATTATTTCGATAATTACTTATTTAATTCACATTAATTCAGAAAAAATTCATCAACCGTACTCCCTCTGGTCCTTAATTAACTTTACACTTTCTTTTTTGGACCGTCCCATATTAAACTTTACACTTCTTTATTTGCCTTATTTGGCAAACAAATTTACAGCAAACAATGTCAAACAGTACTAAACAGTGTCAAACAGTGTACTCTACGGTAAAGTCAAATTTATTTTGTCAATATGTGTGAAGTTACCAGAGGGATAATGAATTATGAAATCATTTCTTTGAACATCTAATTTAGAGAGTTATATGTACTCCGTATAAAAGAAGAAGACTGTATTCTGTAACTCCAATTCCAGCTGCTTGGAGCTTGTTTGAGTCTTGCAAGTTTGGTTGTTTACAGATGCCCGATTCCAAACCTCAAAGGCCATAGGGGTTCATGCTTATTGCCTCGCATAAACCTCGGGCCTAGGAAACATTTTATGATTCGGCATTTCGTGATTTATCTTTCCTTTTCGTCTTCTTATATTTCGGTATCTGAAATTTGAGCAATTCCATCGATCTTAATGAAAGTTAGGGTTTTTCTTCTCCTCTTTCTCCTTCTTTCTTGGAACCCACCCTTTTCGCATTCTGAGGAAACCAAAAACAAGTTTCGAGAACGGGAGGCTACTGATGATTCCCTCGGCTATCCAAACGTGTAAGTCACTAAAACTTCTCCATTAAGTTCAGTTTTTCCTTTTGGAATAAATCTTGAGGTGAAATTATTGATGAACTATAACACTGTATCTTGATATGTTTTATGCATTTCCAGTTGGTTCTGCCTTTTATAGTTGTTTTGCTTGATAGTAGTTGCAATTTGATATAAAATTGCATTTTCACTGTCTTCTTTATTTATAAAGCAGCTGTTGTCACTGCACACAGAAGTGTGCTGATTATGTTGTATGTACAATTGTTTTTTATTGCATCTGGAACTGAAGTATTCTCACTTTTCTTAGGTTAACCTAACACATTTATCTGTTTGTAGAGACGAGGATGAGTTGTTGAATACACAATGCCCTCAGCATTTGGAGCTGAGATGGCAGACAGAAGTTAGTTCTAGCATATATGCCTCACCACTGATTGCTGATATAAACAGGTAAATAAATGACTCTGGCTTTAGGTTTCAGTGTGGATTCCACTACATAATACTTATTGTGTTCTATTGGATGCTTGAATGGTTTTGTTTCTATGCTGCTAGCCTGCTACTCTCCATGGTCAAAGGTAAAAGAAAAAAGAAGTTACTTGTAACTTAGATAAGAATAAAAAGTACATAGATAAGAATAACATCACGTGAAGAAATTAAGGTAATATAAGTGTCACAATTTTTCTCTCTAAAACCTTGCCTGTGGCTATGGAAATTCATTACTCCCTCCGTCCCCCAATTAAGTTCCCGGTTTGACTTCACACATATTAAGAAAATAAATTTGACTTTACTGTGGAGTGCACTGTTTTGCACTGTTTGGATTTTGTTTTGCACTGTTTGGACACTGTTTTGCACTGTTTGACACTGTTTTGATGTAGATAATTTGCCAAATAAGGAAAGTAAGGAAGCGTGAACTTAATTTAGGGACTGCCCAAAAAGGAAAGTATTAACTTAATTGCGGGACAGAGGGAGTAATTAAAAGCTATGTTATATTGTTGAAGTACATTGGTGAAATGGCACTGTTATATGGAAATAAGTATGCATCCTGATCAGAAACATCTTCCATTTTTTTACCTTGCTAAATAGACATTTAGTGTAGGACAACTTATATTTAGACATAAATAAATAACATATGAACAAACAATTATAGTTAAATAAAAAATATCAGATTTAGGTATATCAGGATTATCAGCTATTAGTGGTATTACCGTATTAGTAATAGTTTCCTACTTTCCTAGTTGCAGTATTAGTAATAATTTCCTATTAGTAGCTAAGCAGCACAGAAATGGGAAATGGGAAATGGTGTTTTAGATATTATTATGCATACAAAACTTGGGGGGAATGCATAAGGGCAGCCCGTTCACATTGGCGTCCCGCCGTCTTGCAAGGAGAGGGTCTGGGGAAGGGTCCCACACTCCCACCACAAGGGTGTATTGGGGAAATACATAAAAAAATAGACATGTGTTTGCAAATATTTTTTTCTCATATACATATTCTATATATATAAGTTGCTATATAGTATATAATCATAGATAAAAATAGTATGCACGTTCAAATGTAAATTTCATTCACATACATAACCAAATGTAAAATGGAATACATTTCTAGCTACACATTGCACTATGAAAGGTAACATAGACTGATGCTATAAGAGAAATCCCTTAAAAAACAAAGTGTGACTTCCTGATGCGTGCCAGACCTTCCAAAACAGAAAAGTGTGAGCTGTATGGAGTTTCCGTGCTTTTTAGATTAGTGATATATGACTAATTGACTATTTGTAATCGTTTCCTATTTGTGTTGGTATTAGTGTTCTGTTTTAGTTATGTTTCTGATAGCAATAATGTTATAGTTCAGGACTCTACTGCTTGCTCATCAATACTCCTGTGAGTAGTTAAAAAGTATACATAGTGTTTACTTCATCGATAAATACATATAGCTTTTAGTTTGATCACATAAGACACTGTCAATGTCAAGTCTATCCATCTTAGGGTTCTCTGTCAAGGATGAGAACCTCCTATAGTCCTATCACTCCACGGTCGCTCATAACATTTAGTATTAGAGCTGGAATTATGGGTGACCAAACTAATTTGGCGATAACATTGAAAGACTTCATTGGTCAGAATATCAGATATCATACCAGCAAGAAACCATGGAGAAGCTGACTATTAAGAGCATTGCATGTTTTGTCCTACTGCTAAACTCCAATCCTGGGGGTGAATTTTAAAATTACGGTAAACAGTTACCCTCACGAAGTATATCGGCTGATTCCAGTTTTCATTGGCACACACTCAGGTCTTAACAGCCTGAGTTTAGGTTGAATAACATACTCCTGGCTACATGATGGAATCTCTGAGGAGGTGGAATACGAACAGCTTGGCAATATGGACTCGGTGGTGCATTTAGCCCATGCCATAGAACGAAAGGAGGCGCTTAGCTTGTCTAGCAGTTCTTGAGGCGCAGCAACTGCTTTTGCTTATGAATGAATGACCTTTTCCCCAAAGTGAGACCAATGCAGTTCAGTTTGTATGCCCTGATCCATCACCTTTTTTGCTGTTACCTTCTGAGCCTTCTCCTTCACATGGGGCTGTTCTGCCCCTTCTGCCATTAGAGTCCCCAAGCACTGCTAGTAATATGACGGTGTGGATTTGCCCCCTACTAGTTATGATACAAAGGCTATAAGACATGGACAATGAGTTTATGTTAGTGGACATCCTTCAAGTGTTACTGAACAGTCTGGCAATATATTTGTAACCATGTAATGTCTGTCATTAAGAGAAATCTATCTCGCTCAAGTGACATAGCTGTCAGTGTTGTTGTACAGCGTGATTTTTTTTGTATATGTTGAGATTGCTGAAAGAGGACTGTGTTGCTAAGTTTTACTATGAATTTGTATAAAATAATTACACATGATTAGTATTAAATAAAATTCAAGGAACTTCATAGTCGAATGATGATCTTCTGTTTGCTAAGTTTCTTAAGATGTGCAATTGGCTAATGGGAGGCCGTAATTGCCACCACATGTTGCTTAATAGGAGAAGGTTTTAAATGAAATTTCTGCTCTCTGCCTTTGTTACGGACACTTTATCTGATAAAATTATTAACTAATTTAAAATTTGGAATATGAATAAATTGATTAAAAAAATCACATTGTTCACAGTTCAAAAATAACCCTCATATTCTACTATGGCACAACTTAAATAATTGTTCCTCCCATTTTACTTTTTCTGTTTAATTTAATAGTCATTTTGTATTTAATTTATCACCCTAAAAGAGTTACTCCTTCCATCTTAAAATGTAACATACATTTTTGGCATTTTTGCTTAGGCACAAGTTTTATGGAAGTAAATGAAATCATTGTTATTTTACAGTTGTAACCTTCTAACAAGGAAGACAAAATAGTTAAGTGTACAAAAAGTAAATGGGGGTGAATTGATTAGTAAAAGGATGTAGTCGGGAAGCAAAAAGTCAGTGGAGTTCATATTAGGGAAGTGTTCATATTTTTAGGATTAACAAAAAGGAAAGAGTATTAAACAAATGGGACAAAGAGAGTATTTTTGCTTGAGTTCCTTTGGCATTGAAATGAGGCGAATTTTATATCTCTTTGTTGCTGCATTTCTATAATCAATATCTGGACACAAATGGAGTATAAGAAAGCTATTTTATTGCAAATATTTGTACCATTTTCCTTATTGTGAGTGAATTTGCAGGTGTGTTTTAACCCCCATGATTATAATTAACATATGCCAGTGCCTAGCTTTTGTTTGTTTTGTCCTATTAATTTTCTTTCATGTAGAATTATCTGTGTAATAACATCAGTTTTTCTTCTTAGTGATGGGAAGCTTGAAGTAGTTGTTCCTTCTTTTGTTCATTACTTGGAAGTTCTTGAAGGGTCTGATGGAGATAAAGTTCCAGGTACTTTTTGTTTTTGTTTTTTAGCTGCCTGTTAAGTTGACAGTTGACACCAACTTTCTTCATTGGTTACAATAAATTTATAAACCAAATGCACCTGTAAACAATCACTCCATGTTCACTTAAAATTTGCCTGAACTGTTGCTGGGATGTAGAGTACTGTAGTTGCTTAGTTTGAGAGCGTAAATAGAAAGGTGAATGACAAATGATGCATGCACCATAATGGCACTCAAGATTTTGTTTTAATGAGGCAAATTTAGCGAATTCTAACTATGTATGTGTTTTGCTTTTCTTTTTCCCTTCTCCATCAGGGTGGCCAGCATTCCATCAATCAACTGTACATTCTAGTCCTTTCCTATTTGACATTGACAAGGATGGTGTAAGAGAAATAGGCTTAGCCACATACAATGGTGAGGTGCTCTTTTTCAGGTAATAATCTATAGCTCTCCATACCCAGCTCCCTATAGCTAACCTCTCTCCCTCTCATATGGTGATCATATGGTTTTTATTCTCTTGGATTTACATTGTGTGGGTGTTTTTCTTTGAAACATTCTTTTTACTAGGGCATCTGGCTACATGATGTCTGATAAGCTAGTGATTCCTCGGATGAAAGTTAAAAAGGATTGGCATGTTGGTTTACTGCCAGATCCTGTAGATCGCTCTCATCCAGATGTTCATGATGACCAACTCATTGAGGAAGCCCTCGTTGAATCACTAGCTCGTAAGTTGTGCTCCCCTCCCCCCAAAAAGAAAGAAGAGTAATAAACCATTGAGGTTATCCGCATGAATACTTGTCTTTGTCCAGAAATCGACATGTTTGCAATAATAGATTTCTGTGAGGGTTGATGATATTGGCTTGTTGCAGGACAAAATAAAAGTGCTACTCATGCCGGGAACATTTCTGATACCACTGCAGAAGTTCACCCTCAACCGAGTTTTACTTCCAAAGAAACTCACCTTGAAAAATTGTCTACACCTAAAGAAACTCAACTTGACACTATGAATGCTTCAATTTCTTTGATAAATGGAGATTCCAATGACACATTGAATGCGACAGATGTGCAAAACCAAAGGGTCATAAGTGATAATCAGACATATACTGAAACTAATATGTCTAGCCGCATTACTGACACTTCCCAAGGTTCTTCAAATGAGACTACTACCAATGTTGAGAAGGCGCACTCTAGCAGAAGGCTTCTTGAAGAAAAGACTGGTGACCAGGATGGTCAGGCTGCAACAGTGGAAAATGAAGGCAGCCTAGATGCAGATGCCGAATCATCCTTTGAACTATTCCGAGATACTGATGAGCTGGCTGATGAGTATAATTATGATTATGATGATTATGTTGATGAGAACATGTGGGGAAATGAGGAGTGGACAGAAGAAGAACATGAAAAAACAGAGAATTACGTGAATGTTGATGCACATGTTTTGTCTACACCTGTGAGTCTGATAGAATTGACATTTTACTAGTAGCTGCATGTCTGCATATATTAGTAAATAATATCATTAACCAATTCTGAAAAACTTACTTCAGGTTATAGCAGACATTGACAAGGATGGTGTTTCAGAAATGGTTGTTGCAGTGTCGTACTTCTTTGACCATGAGTAATACAATTCCCTCCAAATAGATGTTGATAGTTAGGGTGTTGTGCTTAGATATAGTCTTCACAAGTATAATTATGTATTTTCGGTATAGTACATTCATTGGCATATAGTTATCTGTGCTATACTTCTTTTTACCATTTCAAAACTTTTGATGGGAATACATGAGTCCCTTATTGGAATTCATATATTATCTGTACTTCATGTGAATAACTATTAGCAGATAATTCAAAATTTGCAGATACTATGACAATCCTGAACATTTAAAGGAACTTGGAGGTATTGAAATTGGAAAATATGTTGCTGGTGGTATTGTCGTTTTTGATCTGGACACAAAGCAGGTTAAATGGAGCACACAGCTGGATCTGAGTACTGATACAGGAACTTTCCGTGCCCACATATACTCCTCCCCCACAGTAGTTGATTTGGATGGTGATGGAAATCTGGATATCCTTATTGGAACTTCCTACGGTTTGTTTTATGTCTTGGATCACAAAGGTAATTGATTTCTATTTCTTAATTTTCTAAACCTTCCAATCAACTACATATCATATAATCTATAGTTTACTTTGAATGAAATAAAGACAACCTAAGTGGAACCTTGTCTAGATATGTTTTGTGACATCCTTAGCATCATCATAGCTTGCTACTCTTCAAATTTTGATATCTGAGGTTAAAGTAATTGTAATAGTTTGCAGGTTACTCTATTTTGACCATAGACTGTGATGCTTTTTAATACTACGAATTATAACCTCCGTCCAAATAGTATACTAAGATGGTTGGAGCATGTGAGGTGTAGGCTTTTTGGTGCCCCAGTGGAGGCTGATAATGTTTTTGTAGTAGGAGTGAAGGACTGTAAGAGAGAGAGAGGCAGATTGACAGTCCAAAACTTGGATATATCCTGTGACCAAACACATGCTGATTAGTGATAATTATGATCTATAGTAGAGTAGAGAAATAAAAAATAATAGATTGTATTACCGATGATTATCCACCCCACCTTTAAAAATGATCTATAAAAATAATGTTTAAACGGTGATGCGTTTTAGACTTTGTTTTCACCTAATAGATTGTATTACCGATGGCAATCACTTTTTAAACGTTTTCCTATTTCTTTCCCCCTTATTTTATTGTTTTGTACAATGTGTTTTGGACGGTGAATTAGGAATATAGTTCTAGACAATTCCATATCCATTTCTATTTACTAGTATTTCACCCGTGCGATGCACGGAGAATATTTTTGTTCATATATTCTACCTCCGTCCCGGGAAGGTTCGTCATAATGACTTTTCTTGATCAATGATGACTAACTTTGACCAATGCTTTTAATTATTATATTTGTATATAATTTATAAATTTATACTTTCTTGAAAATATTTTGAATAACGAACATTTGATATAATTTTCGCATTCTAGTTAATTTCGTATTAAGAAATATAATTGGTCAAAGTTAATTGTTATTGATCAAGAAAAGTCAATTTGGGAAACCTTTTCGGAACGGAAGAGTAAATTACAAAAAGACATTTTAAAAATCACACAACGAAGAACATTTTATAAGAATATGAAGGTCAATTTTGTTATCATACAAAAAAGTAAATCAAACAGAGTAAAAAAATCATATGATAACAAAAGAAGATCACATTTTCACGCATATATAATAGAAGTATGTGTTATAACATTCAAAATTGTCATGTGGATCGTATACATTTCGAAATAATAATTTATACGGAACATTATATTAGTGGTCTTGTTTGCGTTTTTTTTGCTATCAATTATTATAAAAACATTCAATTCTTTTGAATTGGTTACCCTATAACTTACAACATACAACTACCCATAATAAAACACTGATTGATTCATTTAATTAACTTTTATTTATTATCATAATTTATGGAATCATGATTGAAAATGACCTTCTTTGAAGTTTAATAAAAGCCTCACATCAGAAAGAGCTATAGCACTTGTTACCCCATACTCAAACTTTTGATACTATATACGATCACAAACTCACAAAAGCCTTGTAACTGCGAGTCTTAGGTCATTACACATCATATGTTACGTAAAAGGTCCAAATTAGACATACTTTGAATGTGAGTTCATGATTAGACACAAGATGCAATTTTATTTAAAAGTTCAGAACGTAAATTTGTTAAAAGGCCCGAATTACAATCTGAAATAATATACTCCGTATAGAAGATTATCACCAACTTGTAGGGTAGGTATTTATCATTTTCACAACAATTCTCTATATTTTCAAATGAAAAGCTCTACATAAGAATATAATTAACATGGATGACGAAATCATACAATAAGCTCATTTAATGAAAACTCAAATTTACAATAATTAAACCACCATTCTATTCAAATAAAGGACCACCAATACATATTAGACCGTTTATGAACACTCCAACCATTTTTCTTGAGCAACACAGCCAGCCCATCATCATTTCTTAATCGGCCCAAACCAATATACACATATTTTACACGTTTCTTAACAAACCGACCTAGCCCGTGCCAATGATGTAATCTTCTGTTAACTTCTTCATTCTTCAATGATGTAAATCATGTAATCGTCTCTATTTTGTCATTCTCTGCAAACTTTTTTAATTTCAGTTCAGGCGTTAACCTTCTGTGGACTTTTTTAATAGCTCTTGGAACATGTCATATTAAGGAAACCCGATAATACAACAAACGTTAAGTCGGTTCTAAATTAAATGATATGAGCAATACCCGCATGTATTCTATGAGCAATATTATAAAGTTGTATCAAGAAAATAACTCAAAATTGTTTAAAACCCAATATTTATAAAGCCATTCTCTGAACTGGTGGTATAGACTATAGAATACATGCGGGTATTCCTTTCTTTAAACTAATGAAACAAAATAATTTCTAAAAATTGGAATTTTTAACTTTTTTCTTTCAAAAATGTGATCACCAAAGGAATGTTTAATCTCAAAATCACAACTTGATTGGTTGAGAACACATGAAACCCAAATCAAAGAATTTAAAGAAAAAATCACATCTTCTGTGAAAACATTTAAAATCATAGTCAGCTTTAACCGTTTAAAGAATAAATCATGGCTTCTATGAAAATAGACTCATCAAGTATTAATATGACCGTTTAAAAATGGAGAATTTGAGGGAAATATCAACATATTTTCAAGGATGGTAGTTTTAAATACGAAGTATTACAAATGCCTTTAAAATCTGTTAACTTATAAGCAGCAAGACTTTTAAAGAAGATATGAAGGAGGTAGAAAATCTTTACTTGAATATGAATACAGTGAAAATTATAAAAAGAATTAAGCTTCATCATATCTCCTTTTCCCTTTGCTTTTGGGGTAGCGGATTTGCTTAGTTTCTTCATGATTTAAATCTATGGTCTGGTATAATAATGAACAAATACATTTAAATTTCTCATATGATGTACAAACTAACAAAATTATCTATAAGATTACAAAAAAAAAAATAGAATGTTACGTTGGAGTTTTACTGAATGCTCTAAATCATGTCAGCCTAGACTTTGTCTGGATTCAACCAAGTAAAATTCTTCAAATCTCTAATCTTCAAGCTAAAGATAATCTGGAATAGTGAATCAATCTCCAGCATATAGAATATCTACAAAAAATGCATATACTCCCTCCGTTCCTAAAAATTCTTCCCGGTTTGACTTGGCACGCTTATTAAGAAAGTGGAATAAAGTGAAAATGTATGGTTGTGGTTGTGTAAGAAAAAGGTAAAATGAATGTGAGCCACACAAATTGTCCAAAATGGGAAAGTGGGAAATATTTTTGGGAACAGCCCAAAAAGGAAAGTGGGAAGTACTTTTGGGAACAGAGGGAGTATATCTAAAGTTAGTATACATTTGTCTTGAAAATAATGTCATGATCATCTACAAAGGTGATAATATGTATGACTATTGTCATACAACCAACATCTTAGATCACAGTAAAAACATCTTAGAACAAATTATAACAAATCCAAAACCGTACCTCATCATCATCACGGAATATACCTTTCATAGAAGTTGAGAAAGTATCATGGGTAGAAGCATTCACACTCATTCTGCACCATCCATGACAGGAATTGAAAGCTGGTTGCATACTGATATACGAAGTATTTATACACATGTTCTGTCATTTATTTATGTACATGAATTGAAAGTTGTGAAGATCCAACATAGAGCAGCTATACATTAAATGCTACATTGGGACAACCGTGTTTTAATGTGAAACAGCCAATCAGAATCTTTCTTCTAGAAATACAAACGGGGTACGCATCATTGGGTGCATTTTACAACTATTTTGTGGGACTTGCAATTTGTATATTAAAAATAAAGTTTTAGTCCTATGAACAGTTTTGGGCGGGAACTTGCTCTGCAAGATTCCTTTTGCTATTATATTATAATAGATTATGTTCATTTCTTGTCATTTTTATCATTGTATAAGAGTGACGAGATTGCTCATATCAGGCAAAGTGAGGGAGAAATTTCCTCTTGAAATGGCTGAAATCCAAGGGTCAGTAGTTGCTGCTGATATCAATGATGATGGAAAGATTGAGTTAGTTACTGTTGATTCACATGGAAATGTAGCTGCATGGACTGCACAAGGCAAAGAAATATGGGAGATGCATCTCAAGAGCCTCATCCCTCAGGTAAAGATGCTGATTGTATGCTTTCCTTTTGAATTTGCTTAATGAATATATCATGCATGACATTTTATTTTTTATAGGGTCCCACAGTAGGTGATATTGATGGAGACGGTAATACCGAGCTTGTCATTCCAACACTTTCAGGCAATATATACGTCTTAAGTGGCAAGGATGGGTCCATTGTGCGACCATACCCTTATAGAACTCATGGTCGAGTTATGAATCAAGTCCTTCTAGTGGACTTGAGCAAGAGAGGAGATAAGAAGAAAGGGCTTACAATTGTTACTACATCATTTGATGGATATTTGTATCTAATAGATGGACCGACATCATGTGCCGATGTTGTCGATATTGGAGAAACTTCGTAAGCTACTTCTATCTCGTGTATTATCTAAAAAAGACTCCCTCCGCCCCTAGATAAAATCCACTTCGACTGGACAAGAAGATGAAGAAAACAAAAAACGTGGTTGATATTATTTTAAAATCACTTTTGTTATTTCCTTAAAAGGAAATGAGTGATATGGGATGGATAAAAAAATGTGAAGATTATGTAGTGATAGAAGGATACCAATTTTTTGCTTCTCATTGGAACTTTAAGAATGATGGTTTGTGTAATAACAGGTATAGCATGGTCCTAGCTGATAACGTTGATGGAGGAGATGACCTTGATCTCATTGTGACAACCATGAATGGAAATGTCTTCTGCTTTTCAACTCCTTCTCCACATCATCCCCTCAAAGTAGGCGGTTTTATCAATTTTTTTGTAACGACTGATAATAAGATGTCTCCGATATTATGTGTGTGTGTTTGCAGGCTTGGAGGTCACCTAACCAGGGCCGGAACAATGCTGCGTACCGTTTCAATCGTGAGGGTATATATGTCACTCCATCATCCAGAGCATTCCGTGATGAGGAAGGAAAGAACTTCTGGGTTGAGATAGAGATTGTAGATCGGCATAGGTTTCCGTCTGGGTCTCAAGCTCCATATAATGTCACGGTAAAAATGTCTGTTTACCTTTTGTTTGAAGGAAAAGGGAGATTTCTCAAAATAGGAGTAAATGGAGTTTGAAATTCCAAAATAGGACTTCCCGAAATAGGACTAACATGACAGTATATTTACTGTCATCTTATAGGTGTGACTGCCAAATAGTTGCAGTACAACGCATTTAATATGACAGTATTTATTATAATTAATGACAGTATTTTTCAATCATGGCAGTATTTTTCATACATGACAGTAACAACTCCTATTTCGGGAAGAAAAACATAATAGTCCTATTTTGGAATTCCAAACCTCATTTACTCCTATTTAGGGCAATTTCCCGAAGAAAAATTGAGGGGAAAGTAGTGGGGAGAGAAAGTGAACAGAAGAAAGAATTAATGTTGTTTAATGGGTTTAAGACAGTAGTATGAAAAAACTAAAATAAAATTATGGGGCTATACAGTGTTATTTAGTTCCTCTCCTCATTCATGTACACATCCTCTGTCCCGCAAAAAAATACCGCTTTGCTTTTACGGGTTGGATGTCTCCCAATTAAGTTCTTTTTCACATAAATGCGCATTTTAAGAAAAATACATCAATACCGCTACTTTATGAGCACAAGGTAACAAGTAGAACGACAATGGAAGGTCAAAACCAAAGATTGGCTAGCCTTATTAAATGTGAAATTCAAAGTGGGAACTTTACTGGAGGACGGAGGGATACATTTGTTTTAAATTTTTTAGGATAATTTGTCTTGTACAAAGTAATATACAGTTATTGTCTCTGATATAAAAAACCACTCTTCTATTTATAATTTCTTTCTCCTCATGCTCCCATTTTCTTCTCTATTTCACTTCTCAACTAAACATAGCTTCAGTGAGTTACCCTGCAAAATTCCTTGTCATTTCTTTTCTTATATAGTTATATTGGGGTGGAATGTTAATTTGAATAAAACAGGTAAGCTTGTTGGTTCCTGGAAATTACCAAGGGGAGAGGACAATAAAGCACAACCAGATATTCGGGAATCCTGGGAAACAACGAATTAAACTGCCAACAGTGGGGGTTAGGACTGGTGGGACTGTGGTGGTGGAGATGGTCGACAAGAATGGACTCTATTTCTGGGATGACTTCTCCATCACATTCCACATGCACTATTACAAACTCTTGAAATGGCTTCTTGTCCTTCCGATGCTTGGAATGTTTGGGGTTCTCGTCATTCTTCGTCCGCAGGAAGCAGTGCCCCTCCCATCATTTTCACGCAACACTGACTTATGACGCGCCTAGTTTGTTCACAATTACAAGTGTATTAGATCACAGATAGGGATGGATACTACTGGAAGTCTTAAATCAGAAGACCCCTACGTTACAGAAGAGAGACATGCTGCTTTTGACAAGCCTTGCAACGAGTACTGATGAATGTGGAGCCAAAGGTGTAATATTATCATCTTCTGATGCATGTGACACTGCAATTCACATTTTGATAAAAGTGTCTATCTTTTATACGACATTAAGCCCTTTGAGACACTTCAGATCAATGAGATCAAGCCCTTTCATATCTATCTATACAACATTACAGATGAATTATAGACACCTGAGGATTGGATTGCCATAAATTTCTCGTTCTTCTGCTATTTCATTTATAAGATAACTGAAATAGAGAAGTGATTTAGACTCGTATTATAATAAGATTTCCTGACAGAACTAATAGAGCATATTGGTATCTGGCCACTTAAAATAAATCTTATAGCAGTGGCTATCTTATACTAGTAAATGATACGGCGACTGTTCAATTAATCAGTCATTAAAAATTGGGGATTCCTCAATTTTAATGTAAATTACATTGTCCCGGGAGGCTGGGATATTCTACCCACTTTCTTCTTTGTGAATCTGCGATTTCAAATTTCGTCCTATTCTCTTACTAATACAACTTTCAAGCCAAAATGGTAAAAAGTAATACAAAAGCCTCATTTATCAGATTTGATATGTTTATTAATATATTAGTCCTCAGGTATCACGCCTATTAACAAAATAAGCATTAACCCGGTAAAAGGAAACCTGGACCAAAGCGGTGATGGGCAAATATCTAGCATTTTTCATCACACTATTGAAAATCTCTGTCAGATTAGAAGTGATGGTATTGTATCTGTACCCGCCATCGTGGTGCAATGACCACATTTCCGGGGGAATGTTCCCCAGAAATTGTCGTGCCTCCAAATTCATTTCACCTATCTTCTTGAACCCACCATCAAACTTCTTTTTATGATGTTGCCGTGCGGTCCAGACAAAAAGATTTTTTAGATGAATGTCTTTGAAATGAGTGTGCACATTCGATGCAAGATGGCGGATACATAGCCTATGATGCGCATAAGGCTCCTCCTAAGTACTGCCCACCTCATTCATTGCCCTGACAATACCTCCATGCCGATCAGAAATGACACACAACTCCCGATTAGTGACAAACTGCCTAATACATGCCATAAACCATGACCAACTATCCCCATTCTCATATTCAACAACTGCAAAGGCCTCTGAAAATATTTGGTTGTTCGCATAACAATCCATGGCCACGAGCAGTGTACCCTTGTACTTTCCATACAAGTGTGTGTCATCAATAGTAAGTACGGGTCGACAATGCTTAAAACCATGTATTGATGGCTTGAATGCCCAAAAAACTCTTTGAAACCATGTATTGTGGGAGTATTAGGGGGTGGGTACCACTGCACAATAGTTCCAGGATTTGAATGTTGGAGTGTTGTCATGAAATGGGGCAATTCAGAATATGACTTCTCCCAACCACCAAATATTTCTGCTATGGCCTTTTGCTTCCTCATCCATGTTCTCCGGTATGATACCGTATACCCATACTTTTCCTTCAGCATCTCAATGATAGTGCACTTTAAGGGAAGGATCAACATCATCATCACTTCCCTGCCCATCCACAAATGATGCACCGTTGTGCAAATACCTACCATCTTCCTGTATAACCATGTCCAGTACAGGAGCATTTGAGGAGTTCCCAGCATTCACACCTGCATTGACATAATGCCTAGATACAACAGCATTTGATGTTGATGGAGTACGATAAGCGTCACATATGGATTCCTCAATGTATGTATCAAGCATTGACATGTCCTCCATCTGAACTATGGCCCACATATTTGTTATAGCTAGCTCATCGGTGAGGGGCATAAGCATGTACTTTCCCCCGTTCATGGGAAATTTCATTTTCAAACGCAAAGAACGACTAAGATGAATCATTGTGGCTGTATGTATTTTTTGAAGGATCTCGAGCATGCAAGCACCACGACAAACCATGACAAATGTGGTTGTACCACCTTCATGACATATTTGACCAACATCCTCATAATAGTTCCCTCCCCAATGACACACGATTGGGAAGGTTGAGAAATCCATATTCTAATAACAATTCAAATATATCCAAAAGTCAAGATTCACATACAACTCACATTTCAATATGAAAATACCCAAATTTTGATATCTACATTCAAGTCTACATTTCAATACCCAAATTTAGCTACATTCAAATCAACCCAAATGCCCAAATGTCAAAATACACTTTAAAATTTACAATCAATTTCAAACCAAATTTCAACATTTCATAATCTAAAAATTCGAAAATTTTAACATTCAAAACCCTAAGTTAAAAATGAGATGAAATGGAGTTTGATTTACCTACAAGAAAGAAGAAAGAGTGTTAAAGATGAAGATGGAGGTTTGCCGGAGTGGGGTCGCCGGATATGGAAGTTCGCCGGAGTTGGAAATGGCTCGGTCGTCGTTCATCCTTCGTCCTTCGTAGCTGCTGCTTGGGGGATTTGAGGATTGGGTTTCGTTCGCAGTGTTCTGTTTTGTGGCTGGTCGCTATTTTTACTTAATGGAAAGTCGTACAACGGTTGGACGACTTATAAGCCGCCAAACTGTTTGGCGACTTATAAGTCGCCCAACCGTTGGACGACTTACCCCTGACCACGGTTAACCCAACAGTATATTGGTAAATACTTTTAACCCAACCCTATTTTCGTAATTAATTAATTAACATTAATTCGAAAAAAAACTCGTAAATTAAATTATTTTTTATTCTTTACTTCTGTGTGAAATTTTAACCATGTTTGTATCCAATCTTAGCTATTCAATAGAAGTCATAGTATGGATGTAAATTTCATCTGATGTTTCCATCGTTCAATAGTACTTGTCCAGAATGGATGACCGGGTAATCACTTTTAACTGAACATAATGCTTATTCTTCCATGTTAACACATAAATTGTTGTTAGTATAGTTGTATGTACTTTGAACTTTCAAAGTAATCTAAAAGCACTGAGGAATGCTCATTTAGTTGACTTCAAAGGTTAGACCTGCAACATACTAGGCACAAAGAGCCATTATTCATTAACAATTCTTGTTGTACACACTACTCTTTTACACATTTGTATATGCCTGTGAAAGTAAAAGTGTGTATAAAAGGTTTTTTTGTATTCATTTTGAGGAAAACTTGCAAACTGGCTATGAAAAAACCCACAACATGCCTGCTATGCTGACCAAAGCCTTCGAGCCAATCCATTCTTCCAGGAAAAACTACAACCTCCAATAAAGAGATTGAGTTCCAGCTTCAGTTTCAGTTGACAAAGAAAGTTTAAACCCAACTAGTCTACTACTGATAAGTAATAACTGATGTATGTGAATAGCTCCTAAAAACTACTACTGAACTCTAACACCTCACTTCCTAAATTACTAACTAGCAACTTGAAAATTCTTCCAGCACCCTTTTAGTTAGGACATAAGAGTTGAGAGAAGAGTTGAAGTAAAGAATCATATTAACAGAACAACAACTATCATCAATTCATCATACTTACATAATGTTACAACTTATAACAGCAACTATTAGGAGTCCCCAAATCCATCCATATCATCCTCCCAAGTCCAACATTCATCAAAAGAACAAAAGAAAAAATAATAACTGAAAGAAAAGGATCAATAGGCTTGCAAGACAGGCCTCTTGCCAAGCCTCTTAATCTCTCTATCCATCTGACCAGTGAGCATCAACCCGAACATCTTGAAATCACATAAGAGGGACAAAAGGGGGTGCCTGAAAGTTTCAGGAGCATTCCCTTCAACAAAGAAATGGCTGTACCATGCGAAACCATAACCAAACAGAGGCACAAAAACCAAACACCACCGGTTGAACATCACTGAGTATATTAACCACAGTATACTACAGAGTGTGCCTGCAAAGTGCCACCGCCTTGTTGCTGCCATCGCGTGCTGGTTCATGTAGAAAGCCCAGAACTCCTCCATGCTTCTGAGATTCATCCCTCCTTCAAATCAAACCTTAATATTTCCTCATAAAGATCGCATCTTTTTTAGACTACCAACTAATGCAATCAAAACCCAAATGAATCTCGATTCCGACAAACGAAGTTAATTAGGGAAATTCAAACCCTCCTCTCTCTTATCAGCAAATTTTGCATTTGGGGGTAAATTCTTGAATTGGAAGTTGAACAAAGATGATCGATTCACTAGTAAATTGATATTGATATGATAAAATTGAAAGAAAAAGAGTGCAAGAGTTTGTTTTTATTTACCTACAAAGAAGGGAGGTGTCTGGTTGAAAGAGGGTAGATTGTTGCTCACTGGAATCTCAAATTTTCGAACAGTCGGACGGGAAGAGAACGCTAGGTCAGAGTTCGACTCACCGGTGGAACAGTAACAGAAGCTGCTGATGATGATCTGTAAATCAGATGGCAGAATCAGTTATTTGCCCCTATTTCCTTCGTATCTGGGACCAACCGACATAATAAGGGGATATTTTATGGGTTTTATGACTTTATCTAGTCATACGAGAAATGTGATCTCATAATAGCATTTCATTTTTGACAAAAATACACTAAATAAAACTAAAATATAGATTTACTTGGATTTTTTTAAAATCATTACTAAAATAAAATTTATTTACAAATATATGACTCATACTCCCTTCGTCCCAAAAGATACTTTCCACTTTCCTTTTGAGGCCGTTCTAAAAAAAAATTCTCACTTTCCACTTTATTCATTTTTGGACAATTTGTGTGACTCACATTCATTTTACCTTTTTCTTACACAACTACAACCCCACATTTCCACTTTATTCCACTTTCTTAATAAGCGTGCCAATTCAAATCGGGAAGTATTTTTTGGGACGGAGGGAGTATTTACTACTACTTTAATCATTTTAACTTAATTTTAAAAATTGAACATAAGTTACTATGATTTTATTATTACTCTAGTTACTAGTCACATTTTTGTAAATAATCTTTATTTTAGTAGTAAATATGTAATTATTTCCATTTACATTGGGTTTGGCTAAATGTAGGTTTTTGCTTTATTTGTATTTCAAGTTTAAATTTTATTTCTTTTGACAATTTACCTTGTTCTTACATTATTATATTCGTTTCGAATTTGTCGCATGCTTTTAGTGATTAGCTCGTTCAGTTTTGGACAATCTATTCTATGTCTGATCGGAGTTAGATATGACCTATTTGTTATTAAATCAATCAAGAGAGAGTGGGGCGTAGATTAAAAGTATGATGTATGGTTGCAATTACATGCTTAATCCTATATACCTAAAAGCAAAATCTTTCTCCCAATCCCCTTTCCCGCTTCTCTCTCTCATTAATCGCTTCTCACCCAAATTATTACTGAACGGTTACCTACAACCACACAACAACGTATCTAAGCCCTTCTTTACTGATGTCTACCTCAATTGCACGTTAACTTCTCCACCCCCAAATTCAGCGCACGTCTGGAAATTCAGGGCAGACAATCCATCTTCAATCGTTCGTTTCCAGATTGTTCGCTCTTCAATCGAAGCCCCATAGCTAATTCCTCGCTTATTCCTTTCTTTCCCACTCGATGTAAACTGAAATTGAGCCTGAATCTCCATTGTTTCCTGAGAATCAGCATCCAAATCTTCAACGTGCTCCTGCAAAGAAACGAAACGGCTGGAAATCAGCTCTTGGGAAGGTAACTAACGATTCAATGATTCAATTAAATTGTTGATCTTCTCTACTGCGAATTACCATATATGAATTCACTGTTCTTCTATTTAAACACACATTCCTGGCTCTTTTTTTACCCACCACACAATTGATACTTCTCCAATCGTATTAAAAATAAAAATGGCCCCTCTAAAATTGAATTCGACGGCCGTCAAACTTGATATGGAGAAAAAACCTGTTTTTTTTTCTATAGGGTTGCACGAAAATGGTCTCTGCCATTCCAGAAAAGGGAGTTGAGCATCAAATCAGTTAAGTTTGTTTTAATAGACGAGGAGGTAATACTTATTCACATCTAATATGGCCTCTACATGTTTCACCTCTAATTGTGTCCGGTGGCTCTTTTGCATTACATTTTGAGCATTTTACTTCTTATAATGGCAATTAATTGGAATAAAGTCAGAGTATTGCTAAGGACCTGCCGAGATTAAATATATCTTTGATATTTTCTAAGGTTGATATGGCATAGAAGTGTAGTATCTATAATTATGTCAGTCTTTATTCCTATTCCAGTTATGTTCAAAGTATGCAAATGAGAGCTTAATGCCATTCTTAATAGAAACAATGATATTTTAAGTAGATTGATACAATCAAACTTACTTTATCTGTAAAATAATCCCAAGAAAAATATATGTGATAGTGTGTGCTTTAATTACATTTTTTTAACAGCATTTTACATTTGAGAAGCTGAAATTTGAAGCATTAGAAATGATTGGATAACTCAAATACAAAAAATGTGGCCTTTCAAATTACAAGTATTAGAATCACATTACAAGCATTAAAATACATGAGTACTTGATTTAGAGGACATATTATTATAGCTATAAAGTGAAATTCATATATACTTTAGTGGCTGATTTGTTTTTAAGCTACTACCTCCGTCTCATAAAATTCTTCCCACTTTGACTTGGCACGGAGATTAAGAAAGTGGAATAAAGTGGAAATGCATGGTTGTGATTGTGTAAGAAAAAGGTGAAATGAATGTGAACCACACAAATTGTCCAAAAATGGTAAGTGGGAAGAATTTTTTGGGACGACTCCAAAAGCAAAGTGGGAAGAATTTTATGGGACGGAGGGAGTATTTTTTATAAATACTTTTTGCTTATGGCTGAACCAAACATTTATAGGGTACAAGAATTCAAGCTACTGTACCACAAGAGTACATTCCACTGTTTGAAGACCATATTCAAGAGGGTAAACTTTATGCTTTTATGCACTTCACCGTAAGAGAAAATGCAGGTAAGTGGAGACCAACACAACATCCATATCGGTTTTATTTTAATCAAAGCACTAAGTTTATGCCCCAGCCAAATGGTACACACCCATTGTTTCCTCTCACTACCTATAAATCCACCACCTTCGAAGAGGTTTTGAATTCTCCAGATGTTGACGATCCTGATCTGATTGGTAAGTATATCTTTTGTATACATGCAATGAATGATTCATTCAACTTTAATACTTTGAAGTCACCTTTACAATTCATTGTGTGAAGACATAATTGGTGCATACAGTCCCTCCGAGCCCGTGAAGAAGCCCCCTGCATATGAAGGCCCTCCAACCTGGTGCAACTTTCAACTTCGTGATTTACAGTTAAGCAAATACCTCCACAAATTCCAATTTTTGATAATAAATAACCACTTTTAAGATTGAAATACTAAATCAAGAATGTTATTATGTTTAGGAATAAGGTTCTTAATTGCACTCTCTGGAATGAGTATGTTGACCAACTTGATACATATAAATTGACCTCAAGACAGAATCCCATTGTTATCTTACTGCAGCTATGTCGTATAAATAAACGATGGGGTGTGTTTCTTCTCCTTTGAACTTTTATATAATGTCAAAGGACATGCTTCATTTATATACTAATTAAATTTTGTTACTGATTTGCTTTTTAGATGGTACCAAAGGAGTAGCCACCTCTTTTTATGTTTCAAAGTTAATATTGGATGAACATATCCTTGAGATTGAGGATTTCCGAAGCAGGTAAATAGTTTCTTCAAATGATAAATGACATGTCTACTCAAACTTTTTTTAGAGAGATAACATGCATACATCATTGTAGTTTTTTAAGCATCAGAGGCTCTTTCCCATCGCCTTTAACACAATCATCATCATCCTCTGTTCTCATTGTCGATGTTGCTGCTGAAATGGGTCCTACCATACCACTCACTGAGTTGTCATCTGCTAAAGAGGTAATTTATTACCAACTTTCTTTACTGGATCCACTGGTTTTCTTTAAATAAGACTAAACGTTACATTTCTAACCTTAATATAATTAATATTATTTATTGGTAATTCATATAAATGGTGTATATTACATTCTTTTTTATTTCCAAAACAAATTAATTTTTTTTCCTGTGCAATAAATTCTTTGTAAAAGTAAGAAGCTAATTGTACAATTTAATGCCACACAAACATTTATAGTTTGGACTCAATTCACACTATCTAAAATTTGTTTAACTACTAGTGTCTCTACGGTTTAATAACATTTGAAATTTTACAAAATCATGTACTAATTACCTAATAAAGATAAATTAAACATTACAAAACTAAGATTTCTTATATAATAATTGTCCTACGTCTTAAATTGATAAGTTGTTCTATTGTTTATTTCTCCAAATAATGACAAATTAATTAAAAAATTAGTTTTAAATCTCCGATCTATTAAGTACTATATCCGTCCCATTTTATGCGTCTTACTTTGTCTTGACACAATTATTAATAAATTAGTTGAAAAAGTAAAAGTTATGGTAGAGATTTGAATATAGTAAAGTGAAATGTTGTAAACCACATATTTCTTTTCAAAAAAGGAACTGAGACACTTGTTTGAGGTACGTTTCAGGTCGAATTTTTTGATTAAATTTTGTGAGCATACTCTTCATGAAATATAGATTACGTCCACCAAATTTGAGATTAAAATTCAACCTGGAAGTTCATTAAATAAACTATTGAAAAAAACTGCAGTTTATATATATAAACTACACAATTTTCAAAAATTTATTTAACTAAGTTTCCGATTAAATTTTAATCTAAAATTTAGTATACATAATCTACACTTCATAGAACACATGTTCACAAAATTTCATCAAAAACTTACATGAACTTTTTGTAAAATAAACAAAAAAAATTACTTGGACAATAATACTATGCACATGAGCAATTATATCCGAGTATCCCTTTTAGAAAAATTATTTATAAAATTTTACGAGTCAAAATATTTATTTGGGCAACAACACTACAAGAAATTGCAGGTGAGTAATTTTGAAGCTAAGCAAAATAAATGGGCAGTGGAGAAATAAAAAAATTATCATACCACTACAAGACCAGTACTCCCTCCGTCCCTAATAACTTTGCCAAGTTTGACCATCACGTGGATTAATAAATTAAAATATGTGTGAATGAGGTTTGTGAAGATGAGAAATGAAGCTGACCCTACATCCCAATTTTCGTTTGTAAAACCAATCTACATACGGAGGAAAATAGATGCACAGAGATAAGAGCTTCTATTCATCATCATCATCATGGGAAATTGTATTTTGCATGGGCAATCCAATCTCTATGTCTGTGAAACCATAAAAGGTTGCATGCAGACCTACTTTTTGAATAACGAGCTATAAATGTGACATGATTTAACAAATTAAATACCTCGATCGAACCGGATATTATCATTACTATAGGGAATTGATACGTCTCCCTCCCATCCATTGATTTACTTGGATACGCGCGTGTGCATTCGTAGCAAATGATACTATGTTGGTAATTCATATAAATGGTGTATATTACATTCTTTTTGCCTGTGCAATAAATTCTTTGAAAAAGTAAGAAGCCAATTGTACAATTTAATGCCACACAAACATTTATAGTTTGGACTCAATTCACACTATCTAAAATTTGTTTAACTACTAGCGTATCTACTGTTTAATAACATTTGAAATTTTACAAAATCATGTACTAATTACCTAATAAAGATAAATTAAACATTACAAAACTAAGATTTCTTATATAATAATTGTCCTACGTCTTAAATCGATAAGTTGTTCTATTGTTTATTTCTCCAAATAATGACAAATTAATTAAAAAAAACAGTTTTAAATCTCCGACCTACTAAGTACTATATCCGTCCCATTTTATGTGTCTTACTTTGTCTTGACACAATTATTAATAAATTAGTTTAAAAAGTAAAAGTTATGATAGAGATTTGAATATAGTAAAGTGAAATGTTGTAAACCTTATATTTGTTTTCAAAAAGGAAGTGAGACACTTGTTTGAGGTAAAAATAAAAAATGGCCCCTCTAAAATTGAATTCAACGGCCGTCAAACTTGATATGGAGAAAAAAACTGTTTTTTTTCTATAGGGTTGCACGAAAATGGTCTCTGCCTTTCCAGAACAGGGAGTTGGGCATCAAATCGATTGAGTTTGTTTTAATAGACGAGGAGGTAATACTTATTCACATCTAATATGACCTCTACATGTTTCACCTCTAATTGTGTCCGGTGACTCTTTTGCATTACATTTTGAGTATTTTACTTCTTATAATGGCAATTAATCGGAATAAAGTCAGAGTATTGCTGAGGACCCGCTGAGATTAAATATATCTTTGATATTTTCTAAGGTTGATATGGCATAGAAGTCTAGTATCTATAATTATGTCAGTCTTTATTCCTATTTCAGTTATGTTCAAAGTATGCAAATGAGAGCTTAATGCCATTCTTAATAGAAACAATGACATTTTAAGTAGATTGGTACAATCAAACTTATTTTATCTGTAAAATAATCCCAAGAAAAATATACTTGTATGTGATAGTGTGTGCTTTAATTATGTTTTTTAACAGCATTTTACATTTGAGAAGCTGAAATTTGAAGCATTAGAAAAGATTGGATAACTCAAATACAAAAAATGCGGCCTTTCAAATTACAAGTATTAGAAACACATTACAGGCATTAAAATACATGAGTACTTGATTTAGAGGACATATTATTATAGCTATAAAGTGAAATCCATATATACTTTAGTGGCTGATTTGTTTTTAAGCTACTACCTCCGTCCCATAAAATTCTTCCTACTTTGACTTGGCACGGAGATTAAGAAAGTGCAATAAAGTGGAAATGTATGGTTGTGATTGTGTAAGAAAAAGGTGAAATGAATGTGAACCACACAAATTGTCCAAAAAATGGTAAGTGGGAAGAATTTTTTGGGACGACCCAAAAAGGAAAGTGAGAAGAATTTTATGCGACGGAGGGAGTATTTTTTATAAATACTGTTTGCTTATGGCTGAACCAAACATTTATAGGGTACAAGAATTCAAGCTACTGTACCACAAGAGTACATTCCACTGTTTGAAGACCATATTCAAGAGGGTAGACTTTATGCTTTTATGCACTTCACTGTAAGAGAAAATGCAGGCAAGTGGAGACCAACACAACATCCATATCGGTTTTATTTTAATCAAAGGACTAAGTTTAGGCTCCAGCCAAATGGTACACACCCACTGTTTCTTCTCACTACCTATAAATCCACCACCTTCGAAGAGGTTTTGAATTCTCCAGATGTTGACGATCCTGATCTGATTGGTAAGTATATCTTTTGTATACCTGCAATGAATGATTCATTCAACTTTAATACTTTGAAGTCACCTTTACAATTCATTGTGTGAAGACATAATTGGTTCATACAATCCCTCCGAGCCCGTGAAGAAGCCCCCTGCATCTGAAGGTCCTCCAACATGGTGCAGCTTTCAACTTCGTGATTTACAGTTAAGCAAATACCTCCACAAATTCCAATTTTTTATAATAAATAACCACTTTTAAGATTGAAATACTAAATCAAGAATGTTATTATGTTTAGGAATAAGGTTCTTAATTGCACTCTATGGAATGAGTATGTTGACCAACTTGATACATATAAATTGACCCCAAGACAGAATCCCATTGTTATCTTACTGCAGCTATGTCGTATAAATAAACGATGAGGTATGTTTCTTCTCCTTTGCACTTTTATATAATGTCAAAGGACACGCTTCATTTATATACTAACTACATTTTGTTACAAATTTACTTTTTAGATGGCACCAAAGGAGTAGCCACCTCTTTTTATGTTTCAAAGTTAATATTGGATGAACATATCCTTGAGATTGAGGATTTCCGAAGCAGGTAAATAGTTTCTTCAAATGATAAATGACATGTCTACTCAAACTTTTTCTAGGGAGTTAACATGCATACATCATTGTAGTTTTTTAAGCATCAGAGTCTCTTTCCCATCGCCTTTAACACAATCATCATCATCCTCTGTTCTCATTGCCGATGTTGCTGCTGAAATGGGTCCTACCATACCACTCTCTGAGTTGTCATCTGTTAAAGAGGTAATTTATTACCAACTTTCTTTACTGGATTCACTGGTTTTCTTTAAATAAGACTAAACGTTACATTTCTAACCTTAATATAATTAATATTATTTATTGCCTCTTAGTTCTCCATCTTAACGAAGGCAGAGTTCCGCCGGTCAACGACATCAGGTTATTTTAATTTGTTCAATCACATATAACAATTTTGCTATAGGTACCCCAAACCCCACCTCATTTATACCCCATATAAAAACTCACCCCCACTTTTCTTCTCCCCTCTTCCTCTCTCCTGCACCCCACCTCTCTCCCTCCCTCTCTATGCTCTTTTCACGCACCCCCTCCCCTTTCTTCCCCATCACAAAATCTTTCCCCTTATTTAAGACTTCCCATTTTTACCATCTTTCCCCCTTCCAACCTTAGATCTTCTCCTGCTTATCTCCTCTTCCACCGGTGACGTTGTCGACGGCGGGCCTACTTCAGTTGCCAACGGCGGGCCTACGTCAGTTGCCAACGGCGGGCAACCTCTAGGGAAGACAATGACAAAGGCAAACCAAGAAGCTTTGAATAACTTGAGCATCAAATCTTCTTTTCTTTATTTTTTTCTTCATTTTTGATATATTTTCGAAATATAAAGGGTTCTCTGTCAGCCAGACAACTTGTAAGTGCAGTGTCTGAAAGAGTCATGAAATTGCCCGTCATTTGAAAAATAAATGTCTGTAATTGATATTTAATTGTTTGTCATTTGTTTGTTAGTTGTCTGTATTTGTTTTGAGTTGTGAAGTTTTCTGCAACTCATACTTAGTTGTTTGTCATTTCATTGTGAGTTGTATGTAATTTGTAATGAAAATAATGTCTGTTTGGTTATCTCTATTGTCTGTCTAGTCATACGTATTGTCTGTCTTCTTTATGAAACATATTCCAAAATGGTAATTCACAATAAAGTAATGCCTGTATGTGTATACTTATTGTCTGGATGTGTATATTTAATGTCTGCCTCGTTATACTAATTACATCTCAAAAAATAAACATCACAAAATACAGACAATTCACAATCAAATACAGACAAATCAAAACAAATACAGACAACTTAAAACAAATACAGACAACTTAAAACAAATAACAAACAATTAACCATCGATTATAGACAGACAGACAACTTCACGAGTCTTACTAACACATACAGACACTGCACTTACATGTTGTCTGTCTGACAGACAACCCTTTATATTTCGAAAATACATCAAAAATGAAGAAAACAAAATCAAGAAAAGAAGATATGCTGCTCAAGTTATTCAAAGCTTCTTGGTTTGCCTTCATCGTTGTCTTCCCTTGAGGTTGCATCCGAAATGGCAACCACCATAGGCCCGCCGTTGGCAACCGGCGTAGGCCCGCCGTCGGCAACATCACCGGTGGAAGAGGAGACAAGCAGGAGAAGATCTAAGGTTGGATGGGGGAAAGATGGTAAAAGTGGGAAGTCTTAAAGAAGGGGAAAGATTTTGAGATGGAGAAGAAAGGGGGAGGGGGGTGCATGGAAAGAGGAGAGGGAGGGAGGAAGAGAGGTGGGGTGCAGGAGAGAGGGAAGGAGGAGAAGAAAAGTGGGGGTGGGTTTTTATATGGGGTACAAAGGGGTAGGGTTTGGGGTACCTATAGCAAAATTGCACAAATAATCCATCATATTTAAATCTTCTCTCCTATTTTGCAATTTGATCATGCTTTACTCCAAATTCTGGAGTTCTCTTGATTTTCAAAATAGAGAATGTTAAGATTTGGATGTAATAATCTAATTTGATTTGATTCAACTTGATTTATTTAGACTTGATCTGAATTGGACTAGTCTAGTAGATTTTTGTGCTATTTGTACATTACAACTATAGACATCTGATCTAATTTAGTTTTGTCTAGTCTGGGATTAAATCTTTGAAATTTGAAATCAGTGCAATAATTTTTTTTAGAGTCTCCAATGTAAAAATGAATGGTTGTTATGAGATGATAAATGCTTACATTTCTCCATAGCGCAATCATATACTCCCTCCATCATGAAAATGTTGGCCAAAGTTGATTTTCACATGAATTAATAAAGTAAAAACCGTGTGGTTAAAATTTGTGCAGAGGAGAGAGAATTAATTTTAGCCACATATTCCTTACTTTAAATGGAAATGACAAATCCTTTTGGGACATCCAAAAAAGAAAATTTGGTTAACCTTTTCGGGACCGAGTGAGTAATATGTATATATAATAGTGTTCAATAAACATTTTGCATAATATTTGAGATGGTTTTAGTTGGACTCATTTTAGTTGAGACCATATCAAGCTATGCCAGACCATATCAATATATTCAAAATATATTGTACACTCATTTTAGTTGAGACAAAATTTGTACAAAAAGTTGAACGAATAATTAATAAAAAATAATAGAATAACATACAAGTGTAAGTATGTATACCACAACAATAAACTTTTGGATCGATAATTGTTTTTTGGAATAACTAACACCATAAACTTGAGGCTAGCAGCCTAGCACCAATATGTTTTTGGGCTTTAAGTGCTGGTCGGTCAAACCCACAATGCATGTAATTTGTAATAGCCAGCTTAGTGGGCTTTCATTAAAAATAATCAATATTGATTGCAACACAGTCAAACAAAATTTTTAATCCTATTAAAGTCTTTTACCCAAATTTTAATATAAAAATTAGTGGAAATTACCCATTTAAACCACTTTAAGCCATTGAGTTTCATTTATGTTGCCCGACTTTTTTTCTTTCAATTCTAAACTTTTACTTTATCACTTTTATCTTTTTAATTTCAAAAGTGGCCTAACCCTAAACTCTTGTCGCCGCACTCTTTATCTGATCTCTGCAATTCCTCTTCATTTTTTCAAATTTCCTCAGATAAGCTAAATATTCTCTCTTCGTCCGCAATAAGTTTCGAGCACTGCTATCTCCAGTTCCTTGGCAATCTAAATCTTCTCCTTCTCTTCTACGAATCACCTAAGGCCGACACTCACTCGTAGAAAGAGCACAAATTCAGACTTAGTGCCAGATCTGATGCTTGCTTTAACCCGCCAACGGTCCTAATTACCTTTTGCGGAAGACACGATCGAAGTGGATGGACAATAAGAAAGTTCAAGTACGATGCTTGAAGGAAGACATTTGATGATGTTCTCTATGAACAAAATTGAGGAACATATCAATTCGTGAATACTTGATAAGGTATACAATTATTAAAGCTAAATATGTGTCGTTGAAAGCAGTGGTTGCTCAAAGAGACAGATGTCTGATCTTAAGAAGAAATGTGGAGTTATTTATTTTTTATTAGTCAATTACTCCTAATTGTGTCTGCTACAACTTTTAATATCAAAATTTTATTTAATTTGATTTATTTATTTGGATGTTTTATTGATTGTTTGTTTATTGGCACTCCTGAGATTTGTCTATGAAGCATATTATACAAAGTGGTTGTGTCTATTAATATGAGCATTAATGTGTTTGATTTTTTTTATTTGTTTATAATTTGTTGGATGATAAATTTCAGCTTACCTCATACATTTTAATAAGCACTTATTTTTTACTTTAAGCCATAAGACTCGTTATGATGCCACATAGTTCCTCAATTCAGGCCTCTCTCATAACTGATACTTGTCTACTTATCTATTCTGCACTGAAGCCTCTGCTTCTGCCTCTGCCTCTGCCTCTGCTGACAACATAAAATAATTCAACCCCCCTAAAGGAGAGTTTTTGTAGAACATGCAGTAGGCTTCATGTTAAGGCCAAGCCATAACATGTGTGCACTCCTGAGAAGTAATGTCATCATCTAATATGACATTATCTTGTTACTAAAATTCCCAGTAGAAAACAATTATCAATGCAATGATTGTCAATGACAATGGTGTAATGGCTATGTGAGGTAAGAACTTTGTGCGTCATGATCTGTAAAACAAAAGTGTTGTTGCTGATTATCAGTAATTAATTAAGTTGTTTTACTTTTATGAGCATATATGTTATTATCAATATATTTGATCTTTAAAATGTTTTATGTCATTGATGATATTAATTGTTGGTTCTTTAGGTGGCACCAAAAATATAGATTTACATTTAAACATTGGTCCTCTAAATGTAGTTGAAATCGTTTGAATTGGTGGCATTAGGGGTTTTAAAAATCTAAATGTAGTTGAAATCGTTTGAAGCTTTAGGGAGTTGGGGTAATTGAATAGAGTTCTAGGGAGATAATATTTAATTTTTTTTGTTTGCTTATTTGGTTGCCCGCTACTTGTGGATATAATTTGATGTGTGGATACATTTTAATGTACTTATAAATTCTATAGGTGGAATGTTTCATTGTAATACTTTATTTGAGATTTTTCTATCGTATTCTCATTGCAGGTGCATAATAGAAGTACATGGAGATGTGTAAAGATGCTAATTAATGGGTTGTGTGTAAAGATGCACAAGAAGAAGAAGAATGTGAAGATCCATAATAGATAAATGTAGCAAATTGAAATAATAGTAAATTCTATTTTGTTTCTTTTTGTTGCACCATATGTGTTGCTTTTTGTTTCATTTTGTTGTTTTTTGTTGGATTATGTTTCTTGTTGAAGATTCTAATATTTGTTGTTTGTTTACATTTTCTATTTATTTTTGTTACATATTTGAAATATAAACCATATACGTAATATATGTGTGTATCAGCAAAATTCGCAAATTGGACTTTTGAAATGCCAACAAATACACGAAACACAAAGAAACAACAAGAAACAATATAAAACAAAAAGTAGAGTTGTCAACAAAATGAAACAATGAGCAACAAAAGAATAACAATAAAAAATTTGGTCTAAAAAATAACAATAATCTTGTATAACTATTATTTTAAATTTTTTCCACACCTTTTTTAGTTTTCCTAATTTTTTCTGAGTATCATTCAGTTTGTTTTTTACATATTTGAAATATAAACCATATACGTAGTATATTTGTGTATCAGCAAAATTCGCAAATTGGACTTTTGAAATGCCAACAAATACATGAAACACAAAGAAACAACAAGAAACAATAAAAAAACAAAAAAAGTAGAGTTGTCAACAAAATGAAACAATGAGCAACAAAAGAATAACAATAAAAAATTTGGTCTAAAAATAACAATAATATTGTATAACTATTATTTTAATTTTTTTCCACACCTTTTTTAGTTTTCCTAAATTTTTCTGAGTATCATTTAGTTTTTTATCATTACAGTTTTTTGTTTTTAAGATTTTTTTTTCTAATAATTTCTTTTTTATATTTATATTGTACTTTTTCCCTATATTTTATCAAAATTTAGACTTTTTTTTAATTTTTTTATATAAATTATAAATTATATAAATTGTTTTCAAAAACTGCATTCCAAAACCGTACCATGTACTACATATTTTTTAGAATTTCTTACATTTTTGACAAAATTCAAAAATTTTCATTTTGCTTTTAAATTTTTATCTCTGTTTCTGTATATTTTAAAATTTTCAGAATTTACTTCTAAGTTTGAATTCTTTTTATTTTATTTTTAAAATATAAATTACAAGTTTTCAATTTTTTTTTAATTCGTTTTTTTATATAATATTATTTTGAATTTGAGTTTTCTGGTCGTTTAAAAATTTATTATTATTTTTGGGAATTTGATTATTTTTCTAATTGCTTTCATAACGTCTAATATCATTTTACAAAATTTTCTATTTAAAAATCTATTAATGAGTAATTACATGCAATTTGTACTAAGTATTAATTTATAAAAGAACTTGCAATGATCGAAATGTTATGTGCTTCATGCACTTGTGACGGCATTACGTAGGGGTGATCGTTGAAGTAGACCGTTTGTGAAAAGAAAGTTTTAACCAGGCTATTTTTGAAAACAAAATCCAAAAATGACAAAAGTGATATTATTTTTAACTTTTGGTCTACTTCTGAAAAATTCCCTAAAAATTATTAATCCAAAAATGTAAAAGTAAGATAATAATCAAAATTTCATCGCAATAGTTCGAAAGTTCTATTGTAAATAGTGTAACCCTTTCGTGTACTACCTTTATTGGATCATTTTATCCTACCTTTTTGTTAGTCCCCTAACTATACTTGATAAAGTTTATGTAGGTCATTACCAATCTTGAACATACTTGTGTAATTAAATATATTGCATTTAATGCCAGTGTTACTTCTCTACATTAGGTCATTTTCACTTCATTTTTTGTCAATGTTACGACATGATCTATTGCTTTCAATTCACTACACAACACACTTCGTCAATGCATTCATTCACTACCAATGGACAACATTATCTATTTCCATATTCAATCATATTCAACCATATGTATTGCCATGTTCACTTGCCATGTTCATCATTGTCTATG